TGCTTACCTATTGCAGATTCAGTCTTCCCAGCCTGGTGCAGGTCTACAATTGTGTTTCTGGTGTCCTTTGACAGCTCTTTGGTCTTGGCCATAGTGGAGTTTGGAGTGTGACTGTTTGAGGTTGTGGACAGGTGTCTTTTATACTGATAACAAGTTCAAACAGGTGCCATTAATACAGTTAACGAGTGGAGGACAGAGGAGCCTCTTAAAGAAGAAGTTACAGGTCTGTGAGAGCCAGAAATCTTGCTTGTTTGTAGGTGACCAAATACTTATTTTCCACCATAATTTGCAAATAAATTCATTAAAAATCCTACAATGTGATTTTCTGGATTCATTTTCCTCAATTTATCTGTCATAGTTGACGTGTACCTATGATGAAAATTACAGGCCTCTCTCATCTTTTTAAGTGGGAGAACTTGCACAATTGGTGGCTGACTAAATAATTTTTTTCCCCACTGTATGTGACTTGTTAAGCAAATTTTACTCCTCAACTTATTTAGGCTTGCCATAACAAAGGGGTTGAATACTTATTAACTCAAGACATTTCAGCATTTCAAATTGTAAACATTTCTAAAACTATATTTTCACTTTGCCATTATGGGGTATTGTGTGTAGGCCAGTGACACAAAATCTCAATTTAATCAATTTTAAATTCAGGCTGTAACACAACAAAAATGTGAAAAAGTCAAGGGGTATGATGACTTTCTGAAGGCACTGTATCTCTCAATATTGGTCACCATTAATTGGATATTTGAGTGATATAGAATAAAAGTGAACTATCCATGACAAGTATGAGTGGTTGTATAAAACGAAAGTCTAGCAACCCAAAGGATGCGAGTTCAAATCTCATCAGGGACACCTTTAGCATTTTAGCTAATTAGCAACTTTTCAACTACTTATTACTTTTTACATTTTAGTCATTTAGCAGACGCTCTTATCCAGAGCGACTTACAGTTAGTGAATACATATATATATATATATATATATATATATTTTATACTGGCCCCCCGTGGGAAGTGAACCCACAACTCCCGAGTGGCGCAGTGGTCTAGGGCACTGCATCGCAGTGCTAGCTGTGCCACTAGAGATCCTGGTTCGAATCCAGGCTCTGTCGTAGCCGGCCACGACCGGGAGACCCATGGGGCGGCGCACAATTGGCCCAGCGTCGTCCAGGGTAGGGGAGGGAATGGCCGGCAGGGATGTAGCTCAGTTGGTAGAGCATGGCGTTTGCAACACTAGGGTTGTGGGTTCGATTCCCACGGGGGGCCAGTATGAAAAAATAAAAAATAATGTATGCACTCACTAACTGTAAGTCGCTCTGGATAAGAGCGTCTGCTAAATGACTAAAATGTAAACCCTGGCGTTGCAAACGCCATGCTCTATCAACTGAGCTACATCCCTGCCGGCCATTCCCTCCCCTGGACGACGCTGGGCCAATTGTGCGCCACCCATGAGTCTCCCGGTCGCGGCCGGCTGCGACAGAGCCTGGATTCGAACCAGGATCTCTAGTGACACAGTTAGCACTGCGATGCAGTGCCTTAGACCACTGTGCCACTTTGCAACTACTAAGCATGTTAGCTAACCCTTCCCCTAAGCCTAACCTTAACACTTTATCCAAACCATCCTCTAATCCTAACCCCTAACCTAGCTAACGTTAGCCAGGTAGCTAACATTAGCCACCTAGCTAGAATTCGTAACATATCACACATTTTACAAATTCGCAACATACAGTATGTTTAGCAAATTCTTAATATTATATTGTATGTTTTGCAAATTCGAATTGTAATTCCATACATGTCATACGAAATGGGTGATAGACATCCACAAATTAATACATACCATACATAGTAACATATCATACTAAATGGAGTGTCTTGGATTTATGTACAGAATAATCCAATATGCTCTGACACCAGGTTGATTTGTCAGTGTCAAAGTAGCCTGTCATTTCCGATGTGTGCTGTATAAAAAAAAATATTCTGCTTAAGTCTCTAGTCAGGTTAAATTACGTAGAATTGCATGAAATGCATTTATAAAAGGCCACATATTTTCCCAGAAACTAAGCTACTAAAAATGTTCCCCATGTGTGCAACTTCTGTTAGCGGCTCTGCTCTTTGACTACTCTATGCCTCTTTGCAAATGTGATGATATGCACGCAATGCTCTATTATAAAGTTGCATTTTTTCCTCCTAAAAATGTCCCCCACCCCCCAGGTCACCCCCTCTCATGCTCACATTTTGTTCCGGCACCTGCAGATTTACAAATTAATTACTGCTGACCGGACGGCGGCATTTGGAAGGATGCGTGCAGTGGGTTGGTGTTGTCAATGAAGACCTGGAGTGCTTTCCTTGTGATGTTATGTGTGTACAGTTCTTGGAGTTGAGACTGTTTACTGCAGATTGTTTTGCTGGCTTGTTCATAACTGAGAGGTTCCCATTACTAGAAGGGGATGTTAAAAGTGAGAACACTTTCGATCAGGGATCTGTACACCGTTGTCAGTGTTAGCCCAATGGCTCTTCTTTACTGAAGACTCATCTCTTCAGTAGGTCCAATGATTGAGTGCAGTCTGGCCCAAGGGTGCAAAGGTGAACGGCAAGGCACTGGAGCGACGAACCACCACTCAAGACCCAAATGAGAAATGTACTTTTCTCGAACGACCCAAATTAAGAAGAAATAGTGTGTGATTATAAATGTTTACTCATAACTCTCGACCCATCACTCACATGCTCAGGGCCCACTTTGGGTCCCAAACCATAATTTAAGAAACCCAGCTCTAAACCAGTGGTTCCCAAACCTTTTCAGTTATTGTACCACCAACTGAATTTTGCTCTGCCCGGAGTACCCCTGAAGTACCCCCTCATGTGCATTTTACCAGTAGTCCTATGGTCTCCTGAGTCTTCTCAAGTACCACCTGTGGATTGGCCAAATACCCCCAGGGGTCCTAGTACCCCTGGTTGGGAACCACTGCTCTAAACAGTATAGCCTTCTCTGGCATACTACTGTGTGGTTTATAGAGCTTTGGGGATATTAACCCAAAAAGAATTTTGAATTCAAATAACTTCTATTGAGCTGCAGAGAACTTTAGGGACCGCTAACCATAGATATACAGTGGGGAGAACAAGTATTTGATACACTGCCGATTTTGCAGGTTTTCCTACTTACAAAGCTTGTACAGGTCTGTAATTGTTATCAAACAAAAATCCAGAAAATCACATTGTTTGATTTTTAAGTAATTAATTTGCATTTTATTGCATGACATAAGTATTTGATCACCTACCAACCAGTAAGAATTCCGGCTCTCACAGACCTGTTAGTTTTTCTTTAAGAAGCCCTCCTGTTTTCCACTCATTACCTGTATTAACTGCACCTGTTTGAACTCGTTACCTGTATAAAAGACACCTGTCCACACACTCAATCAAACAGACTCCAACCTCTCCACAATGGCCAAGACCAGAGAGCTGTGTAAGGACATCAGGGATACAATTGTAGACCTGCACAAGGCTGGGATGGGCTACAGAACAATAGGCAAGCAGCTTGGTGAGAAGGCAACAACTGTTGGTGCAATTATTAGAAAATGGAAGAAGTTCAAGATGACGGTCAATCACCCTTGGTCTGTGGCTCCATGCAAGATCTCACCTCGTGGGGCATCAATGATCATGAGGAAGGTGAGGGATCAGCCCAGAACTACACGGCAGGACCTGGTCAATGACCTGAAGAGAGCTGGGACCACAGTCTCAAAGAAAACCATTAGTAACACACTACGCCGTCATGGATTAAAATCCTGCAGCGCACGCAAGGTCCCCCTGCTCAAGCCAGCGCATGTCCAGGCCCGTCTGAAGTTTGCCAACGACCATCTGGATGATCCAGAGGAGGAATGGGAGACGGTCATGTGGTCTGATGAGACAAAAATTGAGCTTTTTGGTCTAAACTCCACTCGCCGTGTTTGGAGGAAGAAGAAGGATGAGTACAACCCCAAGAACACCATCCAAACCGTGAAGCATAGAGGTGAAAACATTATTCTTTGGGGATGCTTTTCTGCAAAGGGGACAGAACGGCTGCACCGTATTGAGGGGAGGATGGATGGGGCCATGTATCGCGAGATCTTGGCCAACAACCTCCTTCCCTCAGTAAGAGCGTTGAAGATGGGTCGTGGCTGGGTCTTCCAGCATGACAACGACCCGAAACACACAGCCAGGGCAACTAAGGAGTGGCTCCGTAAGAAGCATCTCAAGGTCCTGGAGTGGCCTAGCCAGTCTCCAGACCTGAACCCAATAGAAAATCTTTGGAGGGAGCTGAAAGTCCGTATTGCCCAGCGACAGCCCCAAAACCTGAAGGATCTGGAGAAGGTTTGTATGGAGGAGTGGGCCAAAATCCCTGCTGCAGTGTGTGCAAACCTGGTCAAGACCTACAGGAAACGTATGATCTCTGTAATTGCAAACAGAGGTTTCTGTACCAAATATTAAGTTCTGCTTTTCTGATGTATCAAATACTTATGTCATGCAATAAAATGCAAATTAATTACTTAAAAATCATACAATGTGATTTTCTGGATTTTTGTTTTAGATTCCGTCTCTCACAGTTGAAGTGTACCTATAATAAAAATTACAGACCTCGACATGCTTTGTAAGTAGGAAAACCTGCAAAATCGGCAGTGTATCAAATACTTGTTCTCCCCACTGTACCATTGTTTCCTGACAATATATTGAGTAAGGTATACCTTACTCAGTTTTTCAGGCATTTTATCATAGAATTATCTATATGCGTTTTATCCCATCAACTTCAGTCACTGATAGGCAGTTGTAAAATGCGATTTTAAAATAATAAATGATTCATTGCTTTAATTTGCTTGAACTATAAAGCAACTTACAGTAGGATTATTTTCTTAGTGAACGATATCACGCTTAGATTAATAGCATTCCTCATGACCTGAGATAGAGCTTTTCACAGAATACGTAGTCAGGTCACTGTCTTGATGTGGGGATGTTCCATGTTTCACAGGGCAGGTCAATCGTTTTGGAATTCCAGTCTCTGCCCATGCTGGGAAGTTCTACGGCAGGTGAGTGTAGCAAGTACCCTTATTATCTGTGCTCTGGGTAGAAGCTACCCTTGGGCCCAGCTCTTTAGTGGGGATATGTAAAACTGACCTTAGATCAGTGTTTAGGGGCAAATTCATCCTACTACCTTTCTTTAATTAAGATGTGTCATCATGATGTGACTCTGTATGTGTAAGCATTATGACTCCACTCTATGTCTATGTCTAGTATACAGTGGTGTGAAAAAGTGTTTGCCCCCTTCCTGATTTCTTATTTGTTTGCATGTTTGTCACACTTAAATGTTTCAGATCATCAAACACATTTAAATATTAGTCAAAGATAACACAAGTAAACACAAAATGCAGTTTTGAAATGAAGGTTGTTATTATTAAGGGAAAACAAAATCCAAACCTACATGGCCCTGTGTGAAAAAGTGTTTGCCCCCCCTGTTATAACACAACTCGACTGTGGTTTATCATACCTGAGTTCAATTCCTCTAGCCACACCCAGGCCTGATTACTGCCACACCTGTTCTCAATCAAGGAATCACTTAAATAGGACCTGCCTGACAAAGTGAAGTAGACCAAAAGATCCTCAAAAGCTAGACATCCTGCATTTCTTTGGATCTCGGTATGAACAAATGAGAAAGAAAGTAATTGAGATCCATCAGTCTAGAAAAGGTTATAAATCCATTTCTAAAGCGAATCATAGTGAGAGCCATTATCCACAAATGGCGAAAACATGGAACAGTGGTGAACCTTCCCAGGAGTGGCCGGCCAACCAAAATTACCCCAAGAGCGCAGCGACGACTCATCCAAGAGATCACAAAAGACCCCACAACAACATCCAAAGAGCTGCAGGCCTCACTTGCCTCAGTTAAGGTCCATGTTCATGACTCCACCATAAGAAAGAGACTGGGCAAAAATGTTCCAAGACAAAAACCACTGCTGAGCAGAAATAACATTAAGGCTCGTCTCATTTTTGCCAGAAAACATCTTGATGATCCCCAAGACCTTTGGGAAAATACTCTGTGGACTGACAAGACAAAAGTTGTACTTTTTGGAAGGTGTGTGTCCCATTACATCTGGCGTAAAAGTAACACCGCATTTCAGAAAAATAACATCATACCAACAGTAAAATATGGTGGTGGTAGTGTGATGGTCTGGGCCTGTTTTGCTGCTTCAGGACCTGGAAGACTTGCTGTGATAAATGGAACCATGAATTCTGCTTTCTACCAAAAAATCCTGAAGGAGAATGTCCGGCCATCAGTTCGTGACCTCAAGCTGAAGCGAACTTGGGTTCTACAGCAGGACAATGATCCAAAACACACCAGCAAGTCCACCTCTGAATGGCTGAAGAAAAACAAAATGAAGACTTTGGAGTGGCCTAGTCAAAGTCCTGACTTGAATCCTATTGAGATGCTGTGGCATGACCTTAAAAAGGCAGTTCATGCTCGAAAACCCTCCAATGTGGCTGAATTACAACAATTCTGCTAAGATGAGTGGGCCAAAATTCCTCCACAGTGCTTTAAAAGACTCATTGCAAGTTATTGCAAACGCTTGATTGCAGTTGTTGCTGCTAAGGGTGGCCCAACCAGTTATTAGGTTGTAGGGGGCAATCACTTTTTCACACAGGGCCATGTGGGTTTGGATTTTGTTTTCCCTTAATAATAATCTTAATTTCAAAACTGCATTTTGTGTTTACATGTGTTATCTTTGACTAATATTTAAATGTGTTTGATCTGAAACATTTAAGTGTGACACATGCAAACAAATAAGAAATCAGGAAGGGGGCAAACACTTTTTCACACCACTGTATCTGCTGCCCATAGATATAGAAAATGCCCTCTAGACATGAAGATGAGCCTCTGCCTTTCAGGTCTCCCAGAGATCACTTCTGCGGCGGGCTGAAATATGACGTACTAGATTACACTTCCTGTGATAAAGTACTGCATAAAGGGGCGGGGCTGTCCTGCTGTGGAAACAGGGCCTTCAACCTCACCCAGGCTTCCTGTTGTGAAGGTGACAGAGTCATGTCTCCTAGCAGTATCCCACTGCATCTATTCACTTAAACCTGGTAAATGGATTGAAAACATTATTTTTCTCGGCATCTCCCAAGTTTGAATTGATATTTTGTGTGTTATCTGTGATTCAACCGATGCAGGTCGGCTGACTCTGAATGTGAGCCAGCTGGTGTCAGATTGCTGTGGGTGTAGGGCCTATGACCCACTCAACCAGCTGTGCTGTGGCTCACAGATCCTAACCAGGACCCAACCCCATTCTAAGTGTTGTGGAAAAGGTCAGTGATGTCAGATCAGATTGCTTTTGGCCTTCAACCATATGATGAACCTCGTAATTACGTACTGTGGAAAGTATTTTCCCACTTTCTCAGACTGGGTGTGCATCTTTTGTGTGTTCTTTATAAACACACAGACAGAGAAACACATGTGAGGGAGACATTGGAAATGCATTCAATGAGACTCCAGAAAGCTTTCTTAAATGAAATATCAAATCTTAAATGAGACACATGTGCGAGTTCTTGTGGAAAATTAGGTGCTCTGCCACCAAATAAGATACTGCTCCCCAGGCGCCAATGACGTCGATTAAGGCAGCCCCCCACAGCTCTCTGATTCAGAAGGGTTGGGATAAATGCGGAAGACACATTTGAATGCATTCAGTTGTGCAACTGACTAGGTATCCCCCTTTCCCACATAGCACACATGGGAGGAACCAGCATTAAACAGCTGTTTTATATCTCTACTCAAATATTGGGGTTTTCCTTGAACATTTCTCAAAAAGGCCATAATGCACCAAATATGTAGGTGAAAGGGCAGTCCATATTTATTACAGATTACCAGTTTTGTTCAGCAGTCATCACATTGTATTGTATGTATGCTGACTTTACAGTATGTACATTATGCTGCCAGGTTAGACAGATGGATTTATCATTCTTGATCTGATCAATCCCACCATCACTATCTCTGTCCTCCCTCCTTCCCATCTCTCTAACCAGGTCCCTACAATGGTGCTAGCTGTGGCTCTCAAGTTTACAATCCAGACATTAACATCTGCTGTGCTGGGCAGCTGTCCAATAGGGTGCTTGGAAAAAACCTGGTGAGTCCATTAGTCCACAGAGCTTAAGCCTACAGCTTGGCTTGGGATCCATGAATACATTCCACTGGTCATCTCTCTTCATTGCTCAATCTGTTGAGTCAAGTAATCAATTGGCTAAAACTCATAATTCTTATAGTTAGAACTCTCCAGATTCCATTTCCTTGAGTGCTATATTCCTTGAAATAGAATGGGTAAAATCCAGTACATATATCTCTGAGCTCACCCAACATGACAGCACAACAGGCATCACATTCTGAGAGATAATATGGGCTCTTTTGGTATTGGGAGATCAAATATCTTTCTCTGCACAGACACAGCAGGTGGGGGAACAAGTCCTGCTGTGGAGGGAAGGCCTACGACCCCAGCAGTGACCAGATGAAGTGTTGTGCAGGGACACTGTACAACCTGCAGGTTCAGGACAGGCTCTCAGAGGAGGCCCAGTGCTGTGGGACTGTCCTGATGGAGGCTGGCAACAACCAGACCTGTTGCTCCGCCCCGGGGCTAGACCTGCTCTACCCTACCCAGTCAGGGTTCACCTGCTGTGGGCACCGCTACCCCAACGCCTCCCTGTGGTCTTGCTGCGCGGGTGTCCTGCACCCAAGGTCTGAACCACACACCACCAACAAGAACATGATTCCAGGTCAGTGGGAACAGGATACAATCTGAACTTGATTTCCATTTTTCATCAATCCATGATTTATGTCACAGTTTGAGTTGCGTCTGTTTATCTCTGAAAGGTCCCTGAAGACCTACCTACAGGCCAGACGAGTGATATGAAGATTCTATATGTAGTTCAAGTGGTCCTTTGTAGCTCAGTTGGTAGAGCATGGCGCTTGTAACGCCAGGGTAGTGGGTTCGATTCTTGGGACCACCCATATATTAAATGTATGCACGCATGACTGTAAGTCGCTTTGGATAAAAGCATCAGCTAAATGGTATACATGCATAAGATAAAAGGGGTGTCTCTGTCTTAGCCCATTAGATTGTTCATTATCCTCAGGACCCAGGCTTCTACCACTGGGGGATCTGAATACGGAAGTCCTGTGTCACATCAGAAGTGAAGCCTCCAGTTTGAAGCACAGGATGAAAGGAAATATGACTCAATACTTTCGCCTTTAGCAAGAACAGTGGGAAGCACTTGAATCTACTTTTGTTGGAAGCACTTGAATCATTTCGGGAAGCACTTTGACTCATTGATGTACAGTAGCTTCACAACGCTGATCTAAAGTGTGTGTGTGTCCAGTTCTGCTAGGGACAGTCGAGTGTGTCTGTGAAGATGAATGAGCGGTCCATCGTGATGTTGAACACCATGTCTGTGCAGGCCTCACGTGGCCATGTCAACGCCCTGCCTTCCCCTCACTACGTCACATTACCCAACCACTGCAGCTCCCCTGAACTGGTGCCGGGCAACACTTACATCTGGGTGAAAATACCTTTCTCAGACACCATAAGATTAATCTCTGATCTCCTCGATCATTCCTCCCCTCTCCATTCCATCCTTTCCAGGTGCTCAAAATATTACTTTTAACCATGTTTTGAGGCAATACAGTTTATGGTCTCTCATGAATCATATCTCAGGATAAGCCATATTTTATTATGTTTGTCTGGGTGTTTTCTGTTATTATCATAAACATTCCTTTAATGTTAATGCAATTTTATTGTCTTAATAATGGCTATTCCATACTGATGCTATTTCTTCACTGAAAGTTAACTATTTTTTTCAATGTGACACTAACATCGTAGGCGTAAACCTGTCTGTGAAGTGATTGCACCATATTGTGAAATGGCAGGAAATAAAGCTACTTTTTTAAACAAGCATTTGTGTGTAGGTGTGTGACTTCACCATACATCAAAAAATGTGGTTGGGAGGGGGGGGGGGGGTCCATTTTGTTACGTTACAGCCTTATTCTAAAATGGATTAAATTGTTTTTTTCCCCCTCATCAATCTACACACAATACCCCAAAATAACAAAGCAAAAACAGGTTTTTATATTTTTTTGCAAAAAACTGAAATATTACATTTACATAAGTATTCAGACCATTTACTCAGTACTTTGTTGAAGCACCTTTGGCAGCGATTACAGCCTCGAGTCATCTTGGGTATGACGCTACAAGCTTGGCACACCTGTCTTTGGGGAGTTTCTCCCATTCTTCTCTGCAGATCCTCTCAAGCTCTGTCAGCTTGGATGGACAGCTATTTTCAGTCAGTATTTATTAGCTTTTTATCTGAAATCTGTATGCTTTTTACAAGGCACACTTGTCAGAGAAGACAGAGGAGCATGTGTCAACATAGCAACAGTCATAAGAATTGTTCAAAAGGTTAATAAAAAACGATTCTAATAAAAATGCAACAGGACAATGGATGAACATACTCCAAACTTTGAATTTTTCTAATCCATCAGATATTGACTGAGATATAGCACATCAAATATTGTACTGGCAAAAACAAATAATGAATGGAGTTCAGGCATTTTGGTGGTAATTAATTAATTGTAACATTTACCTTTTTTTCTTATAATGCACTTTATATATATATATATATATATATATATATATATATATATATATATATATATACATTTTCTTAGTATATCAAGTATTTTGTTTAGGTTACCAAACACACAAAGCATGTATTGACAGGAAACAATCTGTATCGAAGCGACGTGACATTACCTCTCTATTGTTTGTTTTAAGAGTCTTGCTGATGCTCTCTCCTAGTTGAGATAAAGAGATATCTCCTATATGGATAAGGCTGAACAACTGTTTAAATCGAGGTGTAACCCTTTCAGCACAATCTGATTATTTTACATGGTTGGGTGGGAGGCCACAGCCATGCTGGCACCTGCATGATAACAGAACTGCTGTATGAAAGACATAGAAGATTTGGTTCAGTTCAATTCTACATAAACAACCATCAAACAAAACTGTTATAGGGCAAACAATTGCATACACTACGAACAAATTATAGTCTTATAATTATAGTGTTCCTGAAAATATGCTGAAAATAATGGAAGGAACTGATGTGATGGTGTCTCGAAGGGTTTGGTAAAAAAAAAAGCATCCTTCCTTCCCTCTCTTCGATAAGGTAATCACTGATCTTTAGGTGATTGAAGAAAGCGATAGGATATGTTAGCGGAGCCTCAGAAACCACAATGAAATTACTGTACATCAAAGTAATCGGTTCACACCGGGCCAAAACATTGCTTGAAATTGTCGGAATTCTGAAGTGGTCCAAAAATAGTACACGAGTGGTACTGTAATGATTAAAGAATGGAAATGGAAAAAACTTGTGGCAGAAACAATTTAGTGGAGAACTTTGCAAGAAATGAGAGAGAAGGCATCTTTCATATGTTTCCTTCCAGGCTTGTTGTGAGAGATGGTCTGACTCCTTGGACACATTCCCAGTTAATCACACCGTTCTAAAGTGGACCACACAGCCTCTTCCTGTATGATGTACAAAGCTCTGACCAATAGTGTCTCGAAGTGAAATGTGACACTATTCTAAAACAGTTCTAGCACAGCAGATCTATGCTCTCTAGCCAAAATACAATGTTTTGAGCACCACATATCTTTTGTTTCACACAAATTGTTTGAAACAGAACATAGACAGGAACGCATAAGCCTACATGTCAAATGTAATTTCATGCTGTTTTAGAGACTAATGAAAATACTGTATCCTATTTTCTAGATCCATTACAAATAAGAGTAGGGCATACCACTACTGTGGGTAGGGGGAAAGCATAGGGCCACTATCCCTTGAATAAATTCAGGGACAAGAAGCTAATTTGAGCTTGCGAGGGTTATAAACTGACAATAAAAGGTGATTATGGCGGTAAAGATAAGCTGTGTTGATAAAAAAGTAAATTCACTGACAGCATCCTGGAGAGTCAGGGAGTAGACATACACACCTCAGATGCTGTCAAAGACTCAGTCTACTTACTCGACACTCTTTTACAAAAGGGTTCTTCGCCTGTCCCCATAGGAGAACCCTCTGTGGAAAGGGTTCTACATGAAACTCAAAAGGGTTCTACATGGAACCAAAATATTTCTACCTGGAACCAAAAAGGGTTCTTCTATGGGGACAGCCGAAGAACCCTTGTTGGTTCTAGATAGCACCTTTTTTTCTAAGCATGTATAGGAAAGCAGTAGATATATACTCTACTTGCAAGGTGTGTGTCAAAGCATCTATTAGGAAAACAGTTTAACAGAGACTCAATTTGGATGAATGATCTCCAAATTATCTGCTAAAGGAGGAACTGCTTCAGCATAGCTTGGGAATGACTATCCAGAAGAAAGAGATGGGGTTGACTTGCTGACTGAAAGAAAATGACACAGCATTTGCACTTTTAGGCTGTGGATGCAGTGAATACTGAATTGTTATGTGAACTGATTATGTTTGATGACGAAATACAATCACACAACCCTGACATTCTTTGACCTCTGACTCCAACAATTGCCTTTACAGGGATGATTGGAATAGTGTGATTTCTGAGATTAAGTTTCAAAATCTTATCAAAATGACCTGACATATTTAAGCAATAAGGCCTGAGGAGTTGTGGTATATTGGCCTTATATCACAAACCCCAGAGGTGCCTTATTGCTATTATAAACTGGTTACCAATGTAATTAGAGCAGTAAAAATAAATGTTTTGTCATACCCGTGGTATACAATATATATATGTCAGCCAATCAGCAATCATGGCTCGAACCACCCAGTTTATAAAATAACAGAGATCATGTCTGAAGTGTGATTTCTCTCACAGATGAAATTCTCTCTCTCCGTCTATCTCTCTCTCTTTCCGTTTCCCTCTCTGACAGGTTTTGGGATGACGACCTCATCCACCACAGAGGGCAAAGTCCTCCTGGTAATCTACGGCCTGCTGGGCTGCTCTGCCACCATCCTCTTCTTCAACCTCTTCCTGGAGAGGGTCATCACCATGTTGGGCTTGTGCGATGGTGCCACCGGAGGAGAACACACAACAAAATCAGGCTAGGGGGCAACAGCAACCAACCCGAGGATGGAGGAGAGGAAAGAGACATGGATGGTGGGAAAGAGGGGTGGAGGCCCTTTGTGTATTCTGTCACTCTCATGCTGTCTGCTGCTGCCCTGGTGTTGGCGTGTGGTGCGTACACTATCTACTCAGCCATGCAGGGCTGGAGATACATCGAGTCCCTGTACTTCTGCTTCATGGCCTTCAGACGGTGGGCTTCGGGACATGGTGAGCAGCCAGGAAGAGTCCTACCGAGGAGCCCCCAGTGGAGGCTAGCAGGTGGCTAACTGCTTCCTCATGCTCCTGGAGGTATGCTGTATCTACACCCTCTTCAATGCCCTATTTGTCATCATAAACAGGGGCTGATCTGGATCCTGAGTCAGCTGATCCATCTGCGTAGCTGCCTGTGCCACGGCAGACCTCTACGATGCCCACTGTTTCCCATGTTCTTGCTAAACCTGGTGGATAAATGCTTGTGTGCTGATGCCACAGTGGAAACCTGTGCCACAGGAACATGGACTTGAGCACTACCAAGGCAGGAAAGATGGGGCCACATGGGCACAGGCTTCCCGGAACATGTTGGACCACCGTGACTGGTACAGTAGATCCTGACTGGAGGGACACTGGCTACAAAATATCTGATATGGTTTACCTGCATAAAGACAACACTGATAATTAAAGGTTTCATTTTTTATAATTGAGGTACTTGGAACCTTTTTTTCATCTGTAAAAAAAAAACTTTGTACTGTATCCTAAATGTAATCAACGTATGGTGAAACCAGTTTTACCCTCCTCATAAATTGTGATGATGGTTGTAGTTCAGTACTTAGAGTTTAACATGTGCACTTGTTTGTGGTTCCATGATGCAAGTTGTCTCCACAAGAGGGAGCACATTAATAAGACCATGTGGATTTTATTTGGGTGGACTGCATATTCTACTGATCCAAATGTTGTCCTGACTTTTTTGTTTGCAAATAAATGAAAGAAAGAAAAGACTAGACACTCCAGCAAATTTCTTCTTTGACATTTCCTCCTCATTTCCTCTCAATAACTGGTCTAGGGTCTGTTATGTCGATGACTAAGATAAAGATCCACATACAGAAAATTGTTAGGTCTCACTGAATATTGCAATATTGTTACCACCTTCATATGACACACAAATGTAATTACGAATTATTGATACATCTCCACTTTTAAGTACACAAAGGAGCAGTTATTATAGACCCATGCCATGGTTCCTTTTAGATGCCATTAGTACTGAGGTGAAAAATATACTCAACATCGTAAATATCTACAAAGTATTGGAGGGTTGTCTTCCTTATCACCTAGATCTACATGTCAGACTACTACTACTACACTAGGCTACTGCAACGGTTTACATATTGACCAATTAGTCATATCTGAAATCAGCATATTCAAAACCAATAATAGCATACAGCAAACGATTTATACAACAGAAAATTATAAACTCATTCATATTTGTTTAGTTCTGCAATGGATAAATCCAATTTGGCGCGAATCAGTTTACAACCAGCCAATTACAAAACCGGATATTTCTCTTCCCGTTTCTCTGGGCCAATAAGGATCTGCATTACATTGACCAAGTTGAAGCTCATCTCATTACACCACCGTGGCAGTGTGCGAATTACGGGGTAGCCAGTGCGGACCCAGCTCCCCTGAATAAGACATAAGCAGTGGAGATTTTAGCATGTCAATCTTGGTGGGGCAAACAAAGCAAAAACATTTTGGGATGCATGCCAGCAAAGCCACTACACAACACAACACTAAACAATACATGAATTGCACTATAACGGTGACAAACGGTGCCCACAAACTGTTAGGGCCTACATAAAGCTGTCCCAAAAGCAGAGCTTTCTTTTCAGCACCATGGAGTGAATCCTTACCACTGCTACACCTGGCTATCAGCGGAGCCTTGTCTAGCAGAGAAACTGTTCATTCAGCCTCATTTACTGCCTTTTTAAAAAACATAACTGATATGGCTGACTTGTCTTAAACAAATGTGCTTTCTACTGACAATTGAGATGTACAAAGTATGGCATAAGGGAATGATGAGCGGATAAGAGGCAATCCATAATTTTGATTAAGACATTAATGAGCAAGCTAAGATGGACGTAGTCAATATAACTATTTGTTCAGCACTTTGGAAATGTACAGTGACAGAATTCAGAACATGGGCTGTTCTTACAGTGTTCTCCCTGTACAACAAGTCAGAACCGTTGGATAAATAACGGGGGCATATAAGCAGACAATGAAAGCTCTTACAATATTCGATGATGACATTTCTCTAAAATAGGCTATAGGATACATGTGCACCACCAAGTCAGAACAGTAGGCTAAGTTATGAGGGGGAAAGGGACCAAATTATTAGGGTGAGGCACATGGGCTACTAACAGCTTACTACACAACATACACTTAGTATTACTTTCTTAGCTACAGTATACATATCTCCCTGGCATATTACATAATTTATGCAGCAGCATACAATACCTTTTTGGACTCACCTTGTTGTGCTCACTTGAATAGGAAGGTGGCACGGCGGTCCTTCGTGGGCACATTTTGTCATTAAGCGTCGTCCAGGGTAGGGGAGGGAATGGCCGGCAGGGATGTAGCTCAGTTGATAGAGCATGTGCGTTTGCAACGCCAGGGTTGTGGGTTCGATTCCCACAGGGGGTATGAAAAACAATAATGTATGCACTCACTAACTGTAAGTCGCTCTGGATAAGAGCGTCTGCTAAATGACTAAAAAATGAAATGAAATGAAATTAAACTTTGTCATCAAAGTCTGGCATTCTCTGGATTTATGGTACTTTCAAGACAGCTGGGAACACAGAAAAAAAACAAGGTTGAATAATGATGTCAGTAATCTTCAGGTCGGAGCTCTAGATAGAGACCCGAGTTCCCGAGTTGGATGACCGTTAAAAAATTTATTTTCCCAGTCGGAGCTCGTTTTTGACCGAGTTCCCAGTTGTCTTGAACTCACTGAAGTCTGAGATTTCCCAGTTCCGAGTTTCCAGTTGTTTTGAACGCGGCAGAAGTCATGCTGGATTGACAGCATGGCCAATGTAGTCAACCTTTTCTGGCCCATGGTGTTGCATGTGAATGTTCATCATTTTAAGCTTGGAAAAGAGACCCTTAAACCCAGACTTGGACCACACACCCTCTCCACTGAATAGCAGGCTAGTGATTGCTTTGCAACGCTAGCAGTTAGTTAGCCACTGATTCCTTCCAAACCACTCATTGTTGAATTTGCGATTTCCAACTTGAAATGTTTTATGTCCAATGGCCGATGAGCACCGATACATTTTATCAATAATTTATCTTCAAGGATTGAAAAGGATTTGCCAGTAGATTGTCGACTTGATTCATGACGAGGACTGCTTGTCTAGCTTGCTAGCTAAGATTTTGAAAGTATGATGTTGAAATGATCAGTCCAATCAAAGCTATGGTAGATATAACGTGATTTGACATCATTTTATCTGTGGCCAATGACCTGAGCCTTCTTGGATGGGCACTTCTAATGTAAATCTATGTCAGCACCCAAGGGGCTTGAATTTACGAGCTCTCCCTGTAGATTTTGCGGTGACGTAGTGTCCCCATGAGTGACAGAACACTGAGCCAATCACGGCGCAACTAGAGAACATTACCAACCCTTACGCTCCGTATTTTCCGCTGGCTGCCCCACCACAGAAAGCACTGAGCTAGGCTGAAACACCTGCATTTTGGAGCTGCTTACTCAAGAAAGCAAAAAAGAGACCATGTTTGTATGCAGCTTTATTAACTCAATGATTTTTTTTACATTGTTCACTAACTGATATGTGATACGTATTAATGCCAAAATAACATGCAAAACAGGCAACAACAAATAACAGGTGGGGTTCAAAACAGGTGGGGCTCTGAATGACGGGTCTCCACTGCCAGAGAGTCAGGTCAAAGAAGGAGAAAAAGGAGAGGAAAGAAAGATACTTGTTGGAGAAGAACAGAGTAAAATAACTGCTCAGAGCTAGAAAAGCAGAGAGTAAGGAAGAAGTGAGGAAGAATAAGGAGAGGGTGAAAGCCCACCTGGACGAGGTGGCAAGGAACTATAACGAAAAGAAACAGAGGGAGAAAGAAAGAGAAAAGCTGTTGAAAAAGGCATATGGCAAAGAAAATCACATGGTGTACATCCCAGACCTCATACTGAAGAAGATGGAAGAGCAAATACTGTCAGCTGTCATTGGTCAAAAGTTCATTTCTATCTTAATTCATTTAGTGGAATACTTCACAAATAAATAAAAATAGGAGCATTTGAGTTATTTGTCAGTTTTCATTGACATGTGGAAGAAAAAACTAAGATGTGTATTAAAAGTGGATGTGGTTACTGGATAGTGAATATATTTTAAATACTGTATCTAATTTCTTGAGTGGTGAAAAATGGTTCCCAATACATGGCCAAGCTTCAAAGACAAAATTGGTTGTATTGTAAAAAAGTATGGGGAAAGAAATGTGCGTGTAGTTCTTCAATTTAAGGTTAGGCATAAGGATAGCAGTGTGGTTAAGGGAAGGGTTAGGTTTAAAATCAGATTTTAAGAAGGTAAATTGTAAAACTAGTTGGGGACCCAGACTTTGTGTGTGGGGCATCGGATCATCTGCAAAAATATGTGTTATTTATTTAACAGTGCAGGTGAGGATGAAGACTGGAAGCCGACAAAATTAACATATCATTTAAAATGCAGTGGCTGATGGGTTATGAAATAAGTTGCCAGGATAGGATGGTGGTTTATTGAACTCTGGTCCTTTGGGTAGAGGTCAAATAGCTTTATAAATTACAACCTGACACCTTAGTGCCTCTTCATTTATAGCATGATGGAAATGAGGTTACATTATGCACAGACTCCATTCCTTTTCAATGCATCACAGGGTTACCCTAGCCCTACTCAAATCAGATAGAGATGCTCAGGCCATCTGGATTGTGGTAATTTGAGACATAAACAGTAAGTACACTTCTTTGAATAGCCAATGGGGACTATTTATGTTGCGTTTAGGCCACTATAGTTGACCAAAGGTAGTCCATGAACAATCCAGTACCACTGATTTTAAAAAAATCTGGAAAACAATGTTAAAAGAAGTAACAACATGCATATTGAAAAATCATGAATGCAGTTATTGAGCAGTTAACTATCCAATACAGTATATCTGACCCTATGGTTTGACATAGGAATGTAGGAATATTTGGTTTGTTTGGCACTGTGTGTGTGTGTGTGTGTGTGTGTGTGTGTGTGTGTGTGTGTGTGTGTGTGTGTGTGTGTGGTGGTGAAGATTGAATAATAACAATCCGCCTCTTCTTACCAGACATCCTGTAGTAGAGGGTCAGAACCTAAGAATCAGCTTAATTGTGAGGGTGAGGGCATTCACAGCCGACCGCTCAGATGGGTGAGGCCAAAAAACACACAAAAAAATCATTTGAAGGCCCCCTTGTTATAAGCTGCAATTCTTTACATTCAAATGTATCATAATTTTAATTGTCACCTGAAATTGCACATAGCCCACATTATTTTATATTCAACAATGCTTAATTCAATTTGATTCATGATTTCTCACTGGAGCAAGCTCATTGATCGATCAATCAAGTAGCATGAGTGATTTCTCTTTTATACAAACACTACAGTAAACAGGCTAGCTAAATGCTTCACATTTCCCAACCAGCCTAGCTACAGTCACAGCCTGCCTACCACCTTCGTGTACAGTGCACATCAACTTTTGAATGTTCCCTCATTTATTCGCTAGGCGGCATCAGTGTCAAAGATTGTGTCGAGTGGCCTGCTGCGGAACCTAAAAATACATTACATTTTCCGGTCACATTTATCAGAGGGACAACAAAATGTACGCGTACCAACTCAAACGACACTCATAAAATGTACTCTTTGGCCAACTTCAGAGAGAATCTGTTTACCCTGAGTCGGTAAGTATTAAGTACGAGTGACTTCCCTTAGCTATGAACAGAAACTAGCTAGCTTGTTTTGCTCTACAGCATACTCTGCTTACAATACAACATGCTGGCTAGCTAGCGAATGTGACAACACAGCCAATTATGGCAGAGCAAACACAGCTAGCTACAGTAGCTAGCTTGTGTCATATTCTAGTTGCAATTTCATCTACTAACTTTTTGTGCACGTCATGCCAACATCTCTGTCATACTTTGTGATTGCAGAGAGTGACAAAAAGTCGAAATGAGAACGCCCGTATCTGTGCTTCGCCTCCCGAGAGGACCTGATCCGAATAGCCGCGGATTCGACCCGAACTCACCCCGTTTCATCGCGCTGTGTCCAACTACTATTTCATCTTCGACTGAAACGGGGACTGACTATGTCCAAATTGGAGAACAGCAGCGTGCATGGTCGGCTTTCTGAGAACGCTCATAGCCATGACTAATAAGCTGGTGCAATTCCACATCTACGAGAGTCTAGGTTGAGGCGAAGTTTGGAGCTTCGGACATTGACGTGCTCAACTTCCAAGTTTCGGAACTACATACCCCCATTGGGATGCAGAAAGAAGCTCTGCTCAGGTGTTAGGATGTCATTTGATACTTTTTTGATATCTGAACAGTGCTGTTCACCAATTTGTGATGTTCAGTGTTTTTCATTTATTTGTGATGTTTTTTAACAGATATCCAAGAAACTGAATCTGATTTGAACTGTTATTTCTAATATCATTTCGTTTCACATACAGGGCGTTTTGGGGACAGTCAATGATAACTGTTCCATTCCAAAAGGGTGTTCAGTCTGACCGAATATGTAGCAAGATGTTTCCATTTATTATTCTGTTACTTTGAGTATGAGGGAGACTTGCCATTGCCATATGTTATTTTTATGTGGCCAGCCAGGTATTGAGCACACTGTGATATACAGTATTTCTATGATTTGATGTTTCATAGTTTTCCAATTTAATGTACCTCCACTGGAGGGAGATGTCAGCACTGTGTTTGCAACAGGCATGTCAGGGGGCTCATATACCACCAGGTTCTCTGACGCTCAGCAGTTCTCAGCTGTCCAGGCCATTTCATTAGGAAGACATAAGGAAACATGTCTGCAGGTGGAATTTTGATATAATTGTCTGGAAACCTGAAAATCTTGGCATTATTCATTGACTATAGGACAATGTGGTTCTTGTCTTGTTCCTTTTCATAAGATCTGTTGCTGAGATATCTTTGTTTACCAATGAAGTCTATTACATTGTTAACAGGCATATGCACTTCATCTTTGTTTTGTTGTACATTGAATAAACATTTTGTCACTTGCATTGAATTTGACAATGTGTTCATTAAGTAGGCCATACAGTGGGGAAAATAAGTATTTAGTCAGCCACCAATTGTGCAAGTTCTCCCACTTAAAAAGATGAGAGGCCTGTAATTTTCATCATAGGTACACGTCAACTATGACAGACAAATTGAGGAAAAAAAAATCCAGAAAATCACATTGTAGGATTTTTTATGAATTTATTTGCAAATTATGGTGGAAAATAAGTATTTGGTCACCTACAAACAAGCAAGATTTCTGGCTCTCACAGACCTGTAACTTCTTCTTTAAGAGGCTCCTCTGTCCTCTCAGTATAAAAGACACCTGTCCACAACCTCAAACAGTCACACTCCAAACTCCACTATGGCCAAGACCAAAGAGCTGTCAAGACATACAAGACCACTGATAATCTCCATCGATCTGGGGCTCCACGCAAGATCTCACCCCGTGGGGTCAAAATGATCACAAGAACGGTGAGCAAAAATCCCAGAACCAGACGGGGGGACCTAGTGAATGACCTGCAGAGAGCTGGGACCAAAGTAACAAAGCCTACCATCAGTAACACACTACACCGCCAGGGACTCAAATCCTGCAGTGACAGACGTGTCCCCCTGCTTAAGCCAGTACATGTCCAGGCCCGTCTGAAGTTTGCTAGAGTGCATTTGGATGATCCAGAAAAGGATTGGGAGAATGTCATATGGTCAGATGAAACCAAAATATAACTTTTTGGTAAAAACTCAACTCGTCGTGTTTGGAGGACAAAGAATGCTGAGTTGCATCCAAAGAACACCATACCTACTGTGAAGCATGGGGGTGGAAACATCATGCTTTGGGGCTGTTTTTCTGCAAAGGGACCAGGACGACTGATCCGTGTAAAGGAAAGAATGAATGGGGCCATGTATCGTGAGATTTTGAGTGAAAACCTCCTTCCATCAGCAAGGGCATTGAAGATGAAACGTGGCTGGGTCTTTCAGCATGACAATGATCCCAAACACACCGCCCGGGCAACGAAGGAGTGGCTTCGTAAGAAGCATTTCAAGGTCCTGGAGTGGCCTAGCCAGTCTCCAGATCTCAACCCCATAGAAAATCTTTGGAGGGAGTTGAAAGTCTGTGTTGCCCAGCGACAGCCCCAAAACATCACTGCTCTAGAGGAGATCTGCATGGAGGAATGGACCAAAATACCAGCAACAGTGTGTGAAAACCTTGTGAAGACTTACAGAAAACGTTTGACCTGTGTCATTGCCAACAAAGGGTATATAACAAAGTATTGAGAAACTTTTGTTATTGACCAAATACTTATTTTCCACCATAATTTGCAAATAAATTAATAAAAAATCCTACAATGTGATTTTCTGGATTTTTTTTCTCATTTTGTCTGTCATAGTTGACGTGTACCTATGATGAAAATTACAGGCCTCTCTCATCTTTTTAAGTGGGAGAACTTGCACAATTGGTGGCTGACTAAATACTTTTTTTCCCCACTGTATGTTGGAGATGAAGGTGTTGGTAATATACAGTGAGGGAAAAAAGTATTTGATCCCCTGCTGATTTTGTACGTTTGCCCACTGACAAAGACATGATCAGTCTATCATTTTAATGGTAGGTTTATTTGAACAGTGAGAGACAGAATAACAACAAAAAAATCCAGAAAAATGCATGTCAAAAATGTTATAAATTGATTTGCATTTTAATGAGGGAAATAAGTATTTGACCCCTCTGCAAAACATGACTTAGTACTTGGTGGCAAAACCCTTGTTGGCAATCACAGAGGTCAGACGTTTCTCGTAGTTGGCCACCAGGTTTGCACACATCTCAGGAGGGATTTTGTCCCACTCCTCTTTGCAGATCTTCTCCAAGTCATTAAGGTTTCGAGGCTGACGTTTGGCAACCCGAACCTTCAGCTCCCTCCACAGATTTTCTATGGGATTAAGGTCTGGAGACTGGCTAGGCCACTCCAGGACCTTAATGTGTTTCTTCTTGAGCCACTCCTTTGTTGCCTTGGCCGTGTGATTTGGGTCATTGTCATGCTGGAATACCCATCCACGACCCATTTTCAATGCCCTGGCTGAGGGAAGGAGGTTCTCACCCAAGATTTGACGGTACATGGCCCTGTCCATCGTCCCTTTGATGCGGTGAAGTTGTTCTCTCCCCTTAGCAGAAAAACACCTCCAAAGCATAATGTTTCCACCTCCATGTTTGACGGTGGGGATGGTGTTCTTGGGGTCATAGGCAGCATTCCTCCTCCTCCAAACACGGCGAGTTGAGTTGATGCCAAAGAGCTCCATTTTGGTCTCATCTGACCACAACACTTTCACCCAGTTCTCCTCTGAATCATTCAGATGTTCATTGGCAAACTTCAGACAGGCCTGTATATGTGCTTTCTTGAGCAGGGGGACCTTGCGGGCACTGCAGGATTTCAGTCCTTCACGGCGTAGTGTGTTACCAATTGTTTTCTTGGTGACTATGGTCCCAGCTGCCTTGAGATCATTGACAAGATCCTCCCGTGTAGTTCTGGGCTGATTCCTCACCGTTCTCATGATCATTGCAACTCCACGAGGTGAGATCTTGCATGGAGCCCCAGGCCGAGGGAGATTGACAGTTATTTTGTGTTTCTTCCATTTGCGAATTATCGCACCAACTGTTGTCACCTTCTGCTTGGCGATGGTCTTGTAGCCCTTTCCAGCCTTGTGTAGGTCTACAATATTGTCCCTGACATCCTTGGAGAGCTCTTTGGTCTTGGCCATGGTGGAGAGTTTGGAATCTGATTGATTGATTGCTTCTGTGGACAGGTGTCTTTTATACAGGTAACAAGCTGAGATTAGGAGCACTCCCTTTAAGAGTGTGCTCCTAATCTCAGCTCGTTACCTGTATAAAAGACACCTGGGAGCCAGAAATCTTTCTGATTGAGAGGGGGTCAAATACTTATTTCCCTCATTAAAATGCAAATCAATTTATAACATTTTTGACATGAGTTTATCTGGATTTTTTTGTTGTTATTCTGTCTCTCACTGTTCAAATAAACCTACCATTAAAATTATAGACTGATCATTTCTTTGTCAGTGGGCAAACGTACAAAATCAGCAGGGGATCAAATACTTCTTTCCCTCACTGTATATCTTATCGTATTCCTTTCACTGAATGAAATATTAACTTTCAGTGGTCACTGGTCGTCCTTCAGTGTCGTATGGTTTCAAATTAATATTTTTGTTTTGATAAGATCCTGACATGTAGGCCTACCTTCCAGTATTGTGCCAGTCAGCACAGATTATATTACAACCTCTGGTTTTCTAAATGAATATGGATGAGAAGGTAGACCTGGCCTAATTGATCTCGACTGCCCAGTCTTTAAGACTGCAAATAGACTATTCACAAATGAATAGGAAAGCCTACAGTGAACTAAACAAGTATAAATTACCATGTGTGTTTGTCAAAGCTCTTTTCATACGTTGTGTGTGGATTAATATGACATCTTAGTTTACACATTTGTTAGTTGAAACTTATGAGTGATCAATAATGTTCAGGATTCGTCATCCTCACAGAACACCCTTCTTATGAAGAGGCATAAGTCATTTTTAATCTTACTAAAAGGTGTGTTTGTGTGCATCTCCAATAAATACTTTTATTGGAATGGCATTAGGCGGTGGGTGTGCAGTGCACAGTCTCCCTCTGTTGTTGTGCCTGAATGACACTGACCGCTTTGTGGAGACAGTCATCAATGAGAGGGTGAGTCATAGCCATCCAGCCCCCCTCTGAAGAATGAGTGAAACCCTGTGATGTCATCGGGCCCTTGTGATTAAATCAGGAAGCCCTCAAGGACGACCAATGTTAATTTCATATTCCCAGGCAGCGGCAGCAGTGCCCAACTCCCTCCCAGCCTGCACTCTCGTTGATGTGCATCCCGTCCAAGCTCAGTGAAACACATAAGTGGTCTGAATGTTAATCTCGTTGCAGTAGTGAATCGAAAATGAAGTGATATCTTACAGCTAGTTGCTGTGTGTGCAGTTCGTTTACTGTCTCCTTTGAGTGAGAAGAGTGTGATTGGTCACTTTATGATAATCCTCTTTTTGTGCTGTGGACTGAATCTAGTGGTCTGCCTCATTTGTTGCATAGTGGGCACACTGTTTCTCAATGTTATCTACTCTTCGGTTTCTCTTTCCTGGCAGTCTGCTTCTCCCTGATTCCAGTGGGAAAACATCCCTGTGCGTGGGTGTGTGTGTACGCCAGTGTTACAAGGGGAGAGGGGCTGTCACGATGGTACAAGGAATCTCCCGTCTAACGCCGTCAGCCAACAGGAAGCACATTCCACTCCTTCCTGTTTGTGGTCCTCTCTTACTTCCTGTCAAGTGTCTGTGATAACTTACAAAAATACATGGCCACATCCACTTAATCACACCCTGCCCCTGCCCATAAATTCATCCATTAATACTGTTGGGCAGTTACTTCTAGAACATTTATGTGTATGTGGTTTTCGTTCTATGACTGCCTCGTAAGGGGTTCACGGATTCAGTCTTGTTTTTTGTTTAGGAGAGCTGGGGTTTGTTTTGCACTCTGAATCCACCATAGGGTTGCATTGAGCATACATCTGAATGTAATTCGGTGTACATGAGCCGGCAGTCAGATGAGGAATTCACACATCTAATTGAAGTCAATGGAACCTGAAACAGATCGGTTTCACTTTGCTGGGTTCTCGCAAAACCCATTGAGCAGCTTCAGGAGCACATCAGTGCCGCAGCCTCACCATCCCATCACAGCTCTCTGTCCACGCATTCCTAATGCCATCACTGGCAGTGGCTGCTT